ACTTGACTTTTCACTATATTAATAGGGTCTTTGATTTAAAGGTTACATTTTTATGTGATTATCGCTATTAACTTTTCCCTTCATAGTTTATACTTTCGTTTATCTTTAAATCTTTCTCTACACCAAAATCATAAATATATTTCCTATACAGGTTTCCTAAAGTTTTGAAGTTTTGATTTATATTTGAATTATGTATCCACCTGTAATACGTTTTCATGCATGAAATTAGGTAAAAACCTACTTTTTTCCCTTTTATAGACAATAAATTGTCTCCATAGCATTTATTGAATAGTTCATTCTTTCCCAGTTTTCCTAAAATAGAGGAATATTTTTATGCTCTTTATTTGGTTGTGCTATTTTGTTTTTTACTATCTCTACATGAATCCCAAACTAAACACAAACGCTTTCAATTTCAATAGCTCAATAAGTCTTGATATCTCAAAGACAAGTGCCCCCATATACTCCCTCTTTTTTCTTGCAGATTTTATTGTCTTTTTTTTTTTTTGGATGGCTTTATCATATTGAATCTTCCCAGCCACACATTTTTCACTTATCTAAGTCTTATTTTATGTCCTTCAATAATGTTATACAGATTCTCTATAAAGCTCTAACACTTTTTTTCAGTTATTCCTAGATACATTAGAATTTTTTTTATTACTGTAATAGAATACGTTTTTCTATTATGGGTTTTTTTTTTTTTTTTGGTAAGTGCTGTGTATGAAAATACTACTAACGTGTATTTAAGCGTCATTTGATTTTGATGTCAGAAGGTTAGTTTAACTCTCTTACTATATTCTTATACATTTGGAGACTTTATCAGATTTTCTCTCTAGACAAACTCACCATGTGGAAATAAGGAAAGTTTAACTTCTTCCTTTTCTACTTTTTTAAAAAAGTTTATTGTCTCATTGCAATATCATACCTCTATTATAGTGTTAATTATTCCTACTTTAATGGAAGTACCTCAAGTATTATGATTAATTACTTTACTTTTCAAGTATATGTTTTAAAAATAACTTTAAAATTATATATTCACCTCTATCAACATTTTCTCTTAATTTTTCTCCTTTTGTAAGCATACATCCAAGAGAAAAGATGTTCAATAATCATTTATTAAATGCTGAATGATTATATTATAGGTACCTATCTTTTATTTTTATGGTTTAATTTTTTTTTTTTTTTTTTTTTTTGCGGTACGCGGGCCTCTCACTGCTGTGGCGTTTCCCGTCGCGGAGCACAGGCTCGGGACGCGCAGGCCCAGCGGCCATGGCTCACGGGCCCAGCCGCTCCGCGGCATGTGGGATCTTCCCAGACCGGGGCATGAGCCCGCGTCCCCTGCATCGGCAGGCGGACTCTCAACCACTGCGCCACCCAGGGAAGACTATGGTTTAATTTTGTACCTTTAAGTCTTTAACTCAAAAGTGTTAGAAAGTTCTTCTATTTATTATTTTCCAAAGATATAATTTTGCTAATATTTATTGGAAAGACTATCATTTATCCACTAATTTGAAACATTAATTTTATTACATACTTAATTTTTGTATACTGAAGTCAATTTCTGGGGAATGGAAGATAGCTAGGGTGGGCATTTATTTCATCCTCACTCATGGGAAGGAAGCTGCTTTGTAGTATTTCCAACAATTACTATCACCTTCATTCCACATATATCCAGCCTGATATATCCATTTACATAAGATTTTAAGTCAACTGGAGGACAGGTAATAATGGATTAATTATGACTGCAGAGTCTCATACTTGTTGAGCACAAAATAGATGCTCAATAAATTTGATTGAAGCAAGACGGAATGAAGGTAAACTTTAGTTATATTCTTAAACAATAAATAAAAATGTTTATTATATCATTTTTAACAAAATCTCTATTAATCCTCCTCTTAAAGTGTGCCACCTACATTAAAGCTACACAGTATTTCTGATACAGCTTATCAAAACCAGCTTTAGCCTGTACATAATTTGTCTGGACTCAGTATTTACGAGAATAAATAAACAAGCGAGACTAACTTCAAAGTGAAGCATTTTCAAGTTTGATCCCAATTCAAAGTAGCAATTCCAAGCTGCTTACTCTAAATTCTTATCAGTAAGCATATTCACTAAGAATATTCGTAACATGTGTAACGTTTCTTGATCTTGAGACACTTCCATCCTAGCTGGATGATAATTTTTTGTTTCAGTAAGAGTTAGCAGGAGAGGATAATAGGATGACCAATGGCTCTCAGGAGCAGCTTTTACGGAAAAAAAAAAAAAAGGAAATTGAATTGATTCTTGAAGGGGTGAAGGTCTTATTTAAGAGGATTGGTTTGGGGATAAAACAAGCAACTTCATAAGTGGAACTTCATAAGAGGAAATAAGTGTTGGCTTTTTCAAGCCATAGCAAATCCTGCACTATTTCTGGATCTGTGATGTTTAAAATTTAAAAAATTTTTTTAGTTATTTCTCGGTATTATTTTGAATTTATTCTTTCCCATTTAGTCCTGAAAATTATTCAAGGCAGCTTACACACTATATATATTTGTGCAACATATCTGTTTTTCAATTAGTGACAAAGAAAATTAAATTTAGAATTCTAAGGCATCAGGGAGAAATATAATATATCAATATGCAGGTCATTAAGATCTTACATAATGATTAAAGCTGAATTGTACCAATAATTCTAAGATTCCCAGTGACCAAAGCAAACAGGGAAGTGAGTGAATTTTAGGATTCAGGAAACAAAACACTTTTCAGAGTACTAGGGTCTGGGAAAAATTTTCTCCCAGAGGTCTTCACACATATGATACTGAGTGGTACAGTGGGCTCCATCCTCAATAGTATCCCAATAACAGATGTGATCATGAGTATTTTATGACTTCTTGTAGTATCCTTCTATATAAGTGGAAGGCATAATTTAAATGTGAAATTCAGTGAAACTGATCCCAACTGGGGCATGCTAAACATTAGAATTCAAGTATGCAAAGTCACCAATAGTCTTCCTTAATTCTAGAATAAAATCTTGACCCTTTGGCAAACACTGCTAAATAAAATCCTGGTAGTTATTAAAAATGAATTATTGGGGTTTATGACCACCTAGAAAACATAAAAAAAAATTAAGAAACATGATTAACATCGGTCCCAGAAGAAATGGCCATAGTGTTTAAGGTTGTCATGAGGCTCAAATGAGAAAATGAAATTGATGTATATGTAGAATGTCAAGGTCTACACATGTGTAAACATATGTACAATTCTTTAGGCACCTTTCAAAAGTCTCCAAGTCCTGATATTTCCAACTATTTTATGTCTCCATTACATTTCTGAAATCTTGCACTAGTCTATCACCTCCTCTCTATGCTATACATTATCTGACTTTAGTTCCTTTTGCTTAGGGTATTGTGATATCCCTTCTTCTTCCTTGTTCTTTTCACTCTCTCTGGTTCCTCCTCTTGGGGTCTATGCTTAATAGCATAGAGCAGATAGGTTGATAGATTCTGGGTTGCAATGTTGATTCCACCATTTATTAGCTGTTTGGTATTAAATGAATTACATTACCTTGATTTGTTCTCAGTATCATCATCTATAAAATAATAATAATAAATAATCATAATAATATCTACCATATTTGGATTGCTACAAGGTTTAAATGAGATCATCTATGTAATGTGCATGATAACCAGCAAATAGTCCACAGCTGATGAATGTTAATCCTTTTTATCATGATTATTCTATCAGAGCATTTTAAAACCTAAATCTGCCCCTGACCCTACTTAAAACTGTCAGTGATTCCCAGAAGCTTAAATTTGCATAGTGGAGTATGTAACTTTCCTTGTAGTCTGGCCTCAGCTTCCCTTTGCACACTCACCACCCTCCGTCACTACCTCCCTCCTTTTATATTCTGCTCAAGTATTTCAGGGTTCAGCTATCTAAGCAGACCATAGGCTTTGAAGTCTCATAGTTTGTCAGTCTCTTTCAAGTCATTTGGCACATGCTGTTCCCTCCTTCTGGAGTTCCCCTCCCTCCCTGCTCTGGCAAAAACCTTTCTCCTCCAGAAACCATATCTGCCTCTCTCCGGTAGAAGTAACAACCTGCCACTATATAAACTATATAGAGAAATATTGAATTTACTTATGTTTATGTCCATCCCCCCTATCAGTCTGTGAATTTCTCTAGGTCAGGAACCCTTTTTAAGTCATCTCTGAGTCCCAAAATACCCAGAACATAGACAAGATTTAATATATACTATTAAAGAGATGAACAACCCCCTGGCAAAGGGCCTCCCACCTCACATGTGCTCAATGGCTTCTATCGAATTGCATTGACTGAATTTAATTTAATTCAAACAACTCTTTCTCCTACAGAACCCCAATCTAATAGCAAACAGAGGCTTGGGTGTTTCAGGGTCCTGTTTTGGGTTATTAATACATGCTAACACGCTGGCAATTAAAAAAGAGGTTTTCCTCACTAGAACCTAGAAGAAAAGTGGGACTTGAGGCGAATGGCTCTAGGAAAAGGATTGCCTGCCCGAGATGCTGCCTCTGGCTTGCTTTCACCCCACCTCTCTCGCTTGGTGAGACAAGAAAGGCAGAGGGAAGAAAAGTGGGAGAGCGGGGGAGCGAGCACAAAAGTCGACCCTCTTCTCTTCCTCCTCCCATAGAGAAGGACGGCAGTAAGCCAGACGTGCTAAGACTCCTCTCAAGCGGACCTGATTCCTGGACTCTTCAAATACATCCTGAGTTTCCTTCTTCTGTGGCTCTCCCTCTCCACTCACTTTGCCCCTCACCCATCTCTCTCTCTCTCTCTCTCTCTCTCTCTCTCTCTCTCTCTCTCTCTCTC